GTCCTTTAACATATCACCTATATACTTGCCACCTACAGCACCTAAACTGTTTGATTCAATACCAAATCTTTCTATTGACTTGTTTGCTTTTAGTGCTTTTGCAATATGTTTTGCACCTTCACTTTTTATATTATTATAAGATACATATAATTCTTTAATTTTGTCATTGTTTTTGATTAATTTGGCTAAATTCTTTGCATCAGAATCTGTTAAATTGTTGAATGATAAATCCAGTGTTATGACAGTTGAGTGATTGTGTAAAGATTCTAGAATTAATTTCAGTGAAGAGCCTTTTAAATTATTTTTTGATAATTTTAAATGCCTAATATTCAATAAATTGTCAAATTTTAATAACATTGCTAGTAATTTACATTCCGGAAAAGATAAATTTAATTCTTGATAATTTAAAGTTTCATAAACGTTTGTAGTCACACCCTTGTAACTCTTTAATAAACTGTCAATGTCTTTTTCGGTTAATTTGTGTAAGTGGCCTTGTTGTATGTCTTTTTGAATTTGTGTTAGGCGTAGATAAGAAACAACCAGGCGGTGACCTTCGTTGGTTAAATAACGATCCAATGTTATTGGTGCACCATATGATTGAGCGATTGAATGTTTTCTAGAATGATTATTACTAGGTAATAAACTAGACGGTAAAGTTAGAGTTGATGATGATGATGGTATAACACTAAGTGATTTGGACCTTGGAAAACCTAAATTACTAAAAGTTTTTGAAACTTTTTTAATCATTTTTTAAAAATATATTATGTATGTTTTGAATATATAAATATATATTATGTATGTTTTGAATATATAAAAATATATTATGTATATTATTAGCAATAAAAGTTTTAAAAATTATTTTAAAAAAAAAAAAATAAATGTCGAAAAAAATTCTTTGTACAATAATAATAATAATATTATTTTTCTCGAAAAAAAGGATTAAGCGGACATTTTATACTTTTTTTTGAAATTTTCTGGAATGCTGGAAGAACCAGTCATTTCTATTTAACGTAAATCTGTTGATCTATATTTGGTTGGACGATATTTATAATTAAATTACATTTAATGGGGTGAGAATAATAAATTATTAATATTCATTCCACAGCCACAAACAAATTTCTCCCTTTCCTAAAATAATAATGTTTGTTAGAGAAATACCAAAATAGACTGCTCATTACACAACCCTTT